ACTGTCCTCCCCTGTCCGGCCGTCTCGTCGGGCACACTGTCCGGTCTCTATCTCCCCTCGTTCTCTACGAACTTGATGGCGGGTAGTGCGCTCCAGGACAGGGGTGTCCACCAGTTCACACCTGCCTACGAGCACGTGACACACTGCACGTGTGCTCGGACGGGCCGTCACCTGGCGACCTTCACACGGCAGCCGGGGTCGGACCTGTACTCAATGACTACTGAGTCCCCTCAGGTAGCTACGTCGGCGTCGGCGTCAGGTAAACTGTCGGCCCCCTGCTCGTGCCGCTCTCTGGCGCACGAGATCGTCCTCTGGCACCACCGACTTGGTCACCCGTCCGTGGAGCGCCTTCGGGCAATGCACAAACGGTACCTTGTCTCTGGTCTTCCCAGAGTTCTCCCTCCCCTCCCACCCTCGCTTTCTCCTCCTTGTCTTCCTTGTGTCAAGGGGCGGCAGCGCGCTGCTCTTCACTCCTCGTTTCCCCCGATGACTGCTCCCTTGCAGACGCTCCACATGGACGTGTGGGGCCCCGCCCGCGTCCGTGGTCAGGGTCACGAGAGGTACTTCCTGATAGCAGGGAAGGAGCTGGCAGTGGGGAGGCAAGCAGTAGCTGCGGCTGTGACAGGTCAGGCAGTGGACACAATAAGGGAGGAGTAAGGCCAGTAGAAGGCGGGAGACCAAGAACCTGCTGAAGCAGTGGAACGAAGTACGGTCGCAGCCGCAAAGCGCCTCCAGAACCAGCTCCGACATCACCAGCACCCCAAGAGCCAGCACCTCTAGCTCCAGGGTCTCTAGGTCTAACGCCTGGAATACCACCTGCTCCAGTAGCTCCAGTACCTCCAGCAGCTCCAGCTCCAGCAGCACCTGCTGCTCCTGCAGCTCCAGTACCTCCAGTACGAGCACCTCCGGGACCAGTTGCTCCAGTACCTCCAGCAGCTCTAGCTCCAGCAGTACCTCCAGCTCCAGCAGCTCCTGTACCCCCAGTGTGAGCACCTCCGAAACCAGCGGCTCCAGCACCTCGAGCAGCTCCAGCTCTAGCAGCACCTCCAGCTCCAGCAGCTCCAGTACCCCCAGTACAAGCACCTCCGAAACCAGCGGCTCCAGCACCTCCAGCGGCTCCAGCACCTCCAGCAGCTCCAGCTCCAGCAGCACCTCCAGCTCCAGCAGCGCCTCCAGTTCTAGGGATTTAGTGGCAGGCCCCTCAGCTCCAGCAGCACCACTCCGGAGGCTCCAGCGCCGAGCAAACCACTCACGCATCTGAAGTGGAGAGAGAGACTCCCGCCGTGTCAAGACACCTGAAGGACTTCCAGGCTTAGCACACTCGGGCTCAGCACCCCCAAGCTCAGCACCTCCAGGCTCCGCAAGCTCAAGCTCAGCACCCTCAGGCTCTGTACCCGCAGGCTCAGCACCCCCAGGCTCCGCACCCTCAGACGCAGCACCCCCACGCTCCGCTCGCTCAAGCTCAGTACCTCCGCACACTCAGGCCCAGCACCCCTAGACCCTGCACCCGCAGGCTCAGCACCCCCACACGCAGTACCCCTAGCAGCACCAAAGTCGACAACTATCTCGACAGGCTCGACAGGGTCTACCTCGGACACACCTGAGGGAGCAGGACCCTGAGGGGGGAGGGGGTCTAGAGGAGGAGGACCTGGTGCGAGGAAGAGCGACGAGGGGGGGGGGGGAAGGGGGTGAGGGGCAGTGCGGTAGGGGAAGAGACGGTAAAAGGGACCCGACTCGCCAAACCTAATGTCCTGGGAGGACAGAACACGGCGCGAGGTGGGGTGGTAAAACTGCCAGCCAGGCGCGTCAGGGGGGAAAACCAAGGAAGACACAGGGAAGTGCACGGGCGGAGAGCTTGTCCGCAGAAGTATCGCGGACAAAGGCACGAGATCCCCAGACCCGGAACACTGACGCATCCCCAACCTCTCCCGTCCAACGCAGTGTCGGCGAGGTCTCTGGCAAGGAGACACGGGGCCAGAGGTTGAGCTGATGCGCAGCGTAGCGGACCGCAAACAACCACAGAAAATGGAGGGCAGCCGCATGGATCATGGAGGTACGAGTGACCACCATGACTACGCCAATGCGGCGCTCAGCAACCCCATTCTGCTGCAGAGAGGCCGGAAGCATGTACGTCTAGAGAATGCTCTCCCCACGACAAAAATCTCGCAAGAGGTCGGAGGAAAACTCACCACCTCTGTCAGAGTACAGACGCAGGACGGGAAGGTCCGTCTCGAACCGCTCGCGGAGCTGGAGACGAACAGCGCAGATCCAAGGGATCAAAATATCAGGGACCTCCCCGTTGCAGCGCAAGGGGAAGATCGTGGTGTAACGCGTGTAGTCGTCCACAACCAGCAGAAAGTACCGCTTGTGTCCCTGTCCACGGACGCGGGCTGGGCCCCACACGTCCAGGTGGAGAGTCTGCAGGGGAGCAGACGTCGGGGGGAACGAGGATTGGGGAGTGGCGCGTTGCCGCCCCTCGACACAGGGAAGGCAGGGAGGGGCAGGCGAGTGTGGGAGGGGGGGCAGAGACCTGGGAACACCAGAGACAAGGAGACGGGAGTGCATGCCACGGAGGCGTGGCAGGGAGGGGTGACCAAGGCGGTGGTGCCAAAGGAGAGTCTGGTGCGACAGGGCGCGACACGAGCAGGGGGCTGCAAGCTGACGTGACGCAGATGCAGACGCAGCTACTTGAGGAGACTCAGTAGTCAGTGTGTACAGGCTCGACCCAGGCTGACGAGTGAACGTGGCAAGGTGACGGCCCGTCCATGCACACGTGCAGATCGCCACACGCTGTCCTCCGGGGTTAAAGGTGTCAACCCAAGCATCCTGAAGGATGGCGTTTCTCACCAAGTTCGTAGAGAACGAAGGGATGTGAAGACCTAATAGTGAGCCAGACGGAACCACCGGACAAGGGAGAACAGTGGAGGAACGTGCAAGAACGGGTCCCTCAGAGGGGTCAGTCAGATAGAGTGCAACAGGTGCTGCGAGTGGTGTGACTGTGGTGCTGTCGCGAAAGAAGCAGGTGGGAGCACCTGAGTCAAGCGTGAAGTTGTGCAAGGCCTCAGCAGGCGCAGTATTAGAGAGAGCAGACTCACCAGCACCTAGAGCAGCAGCCTCTATACTAGGGTCTAGCGGCACACACAGGTAACACTCATCCTGAGTACTAATAGTCAAAGCATACATGGCAGTGAGGATAGCGTCAGTCTAGAGCAAAGACATCCACACCCTGCCTAAGCTGCTCTAGCCAGTGGGGGAGCTCAGCCGCATCACCAAACTCTGCACGACAGGTGTCGCTCAAACAGGAGAAGCAGCGGGACAAGAGAAGCAGCGGGAATGTGTGTGACCAATTGTCCCGCAAGTCTGACCAGCCCGGTCACCTGTGCGAATGACGTACGGGCAGGGAGCACTACTCCGAGATGCCCGCTGAGCAAACCACTCACGAAGCTGTTGGGGCATAAGGGTCTCGCGCGGACGCCGCTGCGGCTGCATCTGGCCACCACCAGAAACTCCCCTCTGAACAGCTCCACGGCGACTGCGACTACGGCCGCCACCACTACCCCAACTAGCGTACCACTCACGAAGTTGCTGGGGCGTGAGGGTCTCGCGCGGACGCCGCTGGAGCTGCGGTTGGCCACCTCCAGAAACTCCCCACCGAACGGCTCCAGCGAGACTACCACTACAGCCGCCGCCACCACTCCCACTGCTGCCACCACCGTCGCCACCAGTCCCACCGCTACTACGAAGAGAAGTCATAGCGGGCAAGCAAGGAGGCGCGGCACCAGTAGGGCAGCACGGAGGGAAGGCAGGGCTGCGAGCACGCACTAGGGTAGGTGGGGGCGGCGCACGGTCAGGGTAGGACGGCGCGCTGCAAGTAGGGCGGCGCGCGGGCAGGTAGGGTCGGCGCGCGGGCAGGCAGGGTAGGCTCGCGGCCAGGCTGGGGCGGCACCTAGGGCTTTTTGGGTTGCGAAGCAACCCTTTACGATAGATTTTGACAGTTTTTTTTTCATGTTTTTTCTTTGAAATAAAACATGAAAAAAATCCGTAAGCTAAAGTATTGTGAGAATAAGCAGTAGGAGAGGTAGGCGCCATAGCTTGGAAAGCCCTAGCTAGGCAAGAACAGTTTAGGCAAAAGAGGGGTTCACTAGCACGAATGAGGATACAAATAGCAAACCCTAGATGGGTTGTACTCGCTATAGAGCACCCCACTACAGGCTAGAGAAATAACATTCTGACAAGTATCATCCTTCCCATTGTGCATGTTGAATATTGGTAGCAGTCTTTGTAGTAGTTTTGTGCGTAAATGCTACAGTGTTTGTATTATATCTGTTATTGTTTGATGTTGTTGTGATAATTGCATGTAATAAATGTCATGAATACTAGTAATGAATTACACACCACGCATGCTTAAATAAATGTAATGATGACACATGATATATAGATGCATACCTATGTCAGAATATTATCTTATTGTTCTAGCCTGTAGTGGGGTGCTCTATAGCGAGTACAACCCTTCTAGGGTTTGCTATTTGTATCCTCATTCTTGCTAGTTCAATCCTCTTTCTTTCTTCTAACTTTTGACATGCTATCAGAGCAGGTCGATCCCCTTGGATCGATCCTGTGGGTGGGTTACCACCTCGCTTCCGCTGCTACTTTTTCCTCCCGCCGTGCGCCCCGAGGCGCGCGGCGGTTTTCTGCCCGCCGTGCGCCCCGAGGCGCGCGGCGGTTCATTGCCCGCTGTGCGCCCCGAGGCGCGCGGCGGGCTTCTCCACTACGTCGCGGCCCCGCCCCGATCGTCGCGGCCCCGCCCCTTGACGCGGCCCCGCTCTACGTCGCGGCCCCGCCCCTTGACGCGGCCCCGCTCTACGTCGCGGCCCCGCTCTACGTCGCGGCCCCGCCCCGGCCCGTCGCCGCCCGTGCGCCTGCCCGGCTCAGCCCCGCCCTTCGTCGCGGCCCCGCCCCGGCCCGTCGCCGCCCGTGCGCCTGCCCGGCTCGGCCCCGCCCTACCTTCGCGGCCCCGCCCAACGTTGCGGCCCCGCCCTATGTCGCGGCCCCGCCCTACGTCGCGGCCCCGCCCTATGTCGCGGCCCCGCCCCGACCGTCGCGGCCCCGCCCCTCGTCGCGGCCCCGGCCCCGTCCCCCCCCCCCCCTTTTTCTCCCCTCCCCCCCAATTCCCGTCGTCCGTCGAGGCGACCTGAGGGGCGCGCTGTGGGGTGGCAGGTATGGGGGTGGCCAGTGTACTTTCCTCCCTTTGCTCCTCCTCCTCCTTTGTCTCCCACTGCTGCAGCTGTCGCTGAGGGGGGTGGTTGTGTGGGAGACTGGGTTTAGGGTTTTAGGGGGGTGCGTGGGAGTAGAGCTAGTGGTGTAGCAGTGGGTGTGTATCAGGGGGGTGGGACTGTGTGCGGGAGGATGAGCGGAGGTTGCCAGTTTGTCGTCAGCAGCACCTGTAGTCCGGGGCGCTGTCCCGGTAGCCCAGTCGTAGCCAGCTGTGCCAGCCGCCCGTGGGTCCGTTGCCCGTCCGCCGCTATTTGAGCCGCGGGGCCTGTTACTCCTGTAGTCCGGGCGCTGTCCGGTAGCCGCTGTGCCAGTCTGCCTCCTGTTGCCCGTGTGTCTGCAGCTTCAGCCGTCGCCTCCTGTCTCCTCTCCCCTCACTCTCCCTCCTCCTCCTCACTTGCCCGTTGTGACTACCACTAGCTTTGCTTATAATTGTGAACTCTAAACTATTTCTTCTTGAACTTGTGCTCAGAATGTGTGGTGACATTGTGATCCACCCTGAGCTTGTTTTGCTTTGCCTGCTCTGCTGATTACACCCCACTTTGGCTATGGGGGTGTGTCAGAATATTATCTTATTGTTCTAGCCTGTAGTGGGGTGCTGTATAGCGAGTACAACCCTTTTAGGGTTTGCTATTTGTATCCTCATTCTTGCTAGTTCAATCCTCTTTCTTCCTTCTAATTTTGACATTATGGTCTTCCACTACCCTTGTATCCGCCAGGACCACTATGTCTGCAGTTGTTTTGATCCACCTTTTCACAGCTTGCTGCTTCCCTAAACTTCCTAAGCCGTTGACGTTCATGGACACGATTGTTAGCCGGTTGGTGTTATATATTATTTAACTCCTGTCGTGGCCCCTACGCATCCACAGGGCGGTGATACAACAGCACTCGGTGACTCACTACAACCATCAGTAGAGCATTTGTTGCAACTCCACCTACTACTCATCTCCCTTTGTGCCTTCTCTTCTGCGCAGCATGTGAACTCTCCCTTCTTTGCAGGACCGATGCACTCCGTCACACACCGATCTCTTTCTTTGCCGCAACCAAATTGACGCCTGCCTTGGAGCTGCGCGATGCCAAGCCTGACACCAGACCATCGATGTGCCGCTGGGATACAACATGCTCCGCTGCCTAGGCGAAAGACACCCCGTTCGCTTTCTCGCAGCTCTCTTGGACGCAGATCCACTCCTCGCAATTCCCTCCAGTTGAGATCAACACCACGGCCGGGTCCTTCAAAATGAGCCTGGTCAGATCTGTGATCCTGACTGAGGCGACTGCGTGGAGTCGACACACCCAGAACATTAGCACCGCACCACTGTGGAAACTTCAAGAAAAACATAAACAGATAAGTTAGAAGCACCCCACACACATTACCATTAATCCCATGGATTCGTCCCAGTGACAAGCTCCAGTTGCTGATGTTGTTATGCCTGTCCGTCACATACTCATCGTGGTACTTCATCATATGAGATACCCTAAGCAGTAGGCACAGTCCAGGGAGGGGTAATGCACCAGCAGCCGCTTAGCATAGGAGGTTGGATCCTCGATCAGATGGCGCCAATGGTAGTTATCCTCCTCATGCTGATTTACCAAGACCTTAACCTTATCTGTGTCCATCCCTGTGACAGAATTCACCACCCTGTGGAAACAGCTCCCTTCTTTGAAAGCCGACCGTCCGCGCTTCTCCAACTTCACCTTCACTAGCATATCGCAGAGCATCTCCGGCGTGATCACTGCGCCCACCCCTTTAAATAGAACTTCAACTAGCAGCGGGTCAGCCGCGGGCACCTTCACGTAAGCAGGGTCCACCTGGTGCTGCCAGTCTAAGTTGATGCGCTTCCCGTCAACACAGGTGTGCACGATCCCATGTTTCCACACAAGATTGGCATCCCGAGCCCGGTCGAAGGTAACCATCAGCCTCCAGTACTCCTTATTCATGAACAATGCCGCCAGCTCGTGAAACTTCGTCGTTGCCTGAATCTCCATGTTCAGGTCCTTCTTCCATAGATTGAAAGTGTACGGAGCGTCGCCTGCACACACGTAGTCTCCGACTTGAAGGCGATTGGGATCAGCAGGACAATGGCAAAACGAATCCGCTGCACAACTTCGCTCTTTGCCTGGGCATCGTAACGCTCTTCTGGGTCATCACTAAGGTAACCATCATCCTCCTCCTCGTCGACAGACTTTGAAGATTTGTTGACCACTACATCCTTTCCTTCTTGCAGGGTACCACCAGAAGCTCCACTGGTAGCAGTGACCTTAACACCATCTTCTGGTAACTGCGACTTGTTGCCAATGTCAGCAGTAAGCAAGTCGCGAACCGCCTCCCGCACACCTTGCGTCGGCCTAGCTAGCTGAAGTGCATCCGTATCCACTTGTGTGAACTGGTCAGCCATACGCTTTACGGCCAAAGTAGCTGTTTCATCAACGACCACCGGCACCTCCTTGGGCTTGTCTAGGGTAGCACCAGCAGAGCCATCAGTATTGCGGACCCCCCCGTTCCTGGTAGTCACCCTAGACATAGTGTAATGATGACACGGCGTAAACTGAACGCCTCCTTACACAGCATAAACTGAAAGCCTCCTTAAGGTGGAAGCCACTGTCTGAGCACAAAATTATTACCACCATTGTCGTTATTTATATCCTTAAACACGAACCTCCGTGAACACGATAACCTTGAGAATAACATGCTCCCGTAATCCTGTATAGCATAGCAGACCAATGATGTGGGGAAACGAAATCCTCGCTGAGTCCCTTATGGTCGACTTAATGAACAGGTGTCATTCCTGGACTTTGACGCGCTGAACAGCCATGGAGACGGACGAGAGACCTCGGAGTTAGCAGCTGATAAGAAATCGAAACCCCATAGAGCATAAGGTACAATGTCCGTAAGTTGGGCACGAGAAGTGTACCAATAGCTTTGTAACAGAAAGGCGGTTCTGAATCTGTAATCAATGTTACCAACTGACACGTGGCCTTCACAAACGAGCTCCTAAAAGTTGTCAGGCGGAATCCATGGCTGAGAAGTCATTGTATACCCTCTGTTACGGATGCAATGAGTCGAGATAGTGAGGATTGCACGAAGTGTCAAACGAGTACAAAATGTGAGCGAAGGCATGAGCGAACATTTATACGCGAAACATGCAAACGGTAACGCAGTGCGTGCGAGCTAGCTAGTGCTAGGCTGGAATCGAGGTTCGGGCTAGTCCCGAAGCGTTGGCCGACACGGCCGGGCCAGCGGTGCAAGGTTTGGTGAAATTGTGCGCGCGAAGTCGGCGAAGCCCCGTTAGCTGTAACGGGTGAACATCGGCTGCTCCTGTATGCGATGTTGCAGGATGCGCTAAGGAATGTCGAGAAAAACCCTTACACTACCACCCCCCCCCCCCCCCCCCCCCCTCAATAAGCCCCCTCTGCTACGCGAGTGCGTATATATCGCGGAAACCCATCCCATGCAGCGGCAGCTAGGGGAAGAGAGCAGGAGGACGCTGAGCGCACCGTGGACAGAGGAAGAAGTACGGAAGGCAGTACAGAAGCTTGCTCCAAGAAAGTCGCCGGGAGCAGACGGCTTGCTTAAGGAGCTCTTTGATCATAACTGGGACCTGCTAGGACCAATACTAATGGATCTGGTGAGGAGGTTCACGAGGGGAGAAGAGTTGCCGCAGAATGTCTCAACGGCGGTGACCATCCCGCTGCATAAAAAGGGTGACAAAGGTGACTTAGGGAAATACTGGCCAATAACGCTCTTAAGCACAGTATACAAGATCGTAGCAAAGGTAATGGCAAGCAGGCTAAAAAAGGTGTTGCACGAGGTCCTTTCGGAGGATCAATATGGCTTCATACCTGGTCGATAGCTGGCGGACGAGGTGACAGTGGTAGTAGACGCCATAAAAGCAGGAGCCAATGGGAAGGAGGACGGGTACCTTTTGATGGTTGATTTTCGGAAGGCATTTGAATCAATCTCGCACGACTACCTTTTCAACACGCTATGGGAAGTTGGGTTGCCGGAGGATTTTGTGACCTGGATGGAGGGGCTGCACAAAGATGCAGGGACGCGCCTGCACATCAACGGGTGGATGGGGGAAAAAGTAGCGGTGGAAAAGGGGGTGCGCTAAGGATGTCCGCTGGTGCCGTACCTCTTCCTCTACGCAGTTGAGCCGTTGTGCGAAGACATTAATCGGAAAAAGTTGGGGGTAAGTTGGCGTACCTGGGCTACACCGATGATACCTCTCTCCTACTGCACGGGGCAGAGCAGTTGGAGATGGCGGCGAAGGTGCTGTCAGATTTCGGAGAAGAGTCGGGGCTAAAGGTGAACGAAGGGAAAACTGTGATCTTTCCACTGGGAAAAAATCGGGGGAAGCCGGCGCCACACAACTTGCGATATAAATTGGCGGACAAGGATGAGCCGGAGTGACTATTGGGGATTTGGATCACACCGAATGGTGACCAAACCCATCTTAGAACAAGGCATCGGACAGGGCGAAGGGGGAGTTAGCGAAGTGGGAGATGCAACACTTGACAACATCAACGGGAGTGACGATAATCAATAGCTACATCACACCGATCTTCCTCTTCCAAGCTCAAGTTTACTTAACACCGGAAGCCATTTGGAAGAAGATTCACAAGCTGTGTCACACGACAAGAGTGATTGCACTAGGAAAGAGTTGGGTACAAGTAGGAAACCCTAAACTTACTGTACCCCATAGTAACTACCCCATTACAACCTAAACAAACTGTAGAAGACATAACATTTGACACTTCGTCTCGAGAGGGGAAGCAGTAGAGGAGAGGCGGTTCATCCTCTGGAACTATAAGCTGGCCCGCACACCTCAGAAGAATGGGGGGCTGGGTTTGATATGTCTCGAGCAGAGAGTCGACAGTATAGCCATCCGGAACGTCTACCGATTGGTGCTGAAGCCGAGCTCTGTCAAGAAGTGGCTGGCGGAGAAGGCGGCAGAGATGCCCCTGCAACTGGACACCATCTTTGCTAAAAAATCACTACTAGACCACTGGGAAAAAGGGAGCACACGATGGAAGGAATTAGTGTCAAACACTATATGTGTTATTGTTGTGTAGGCTATAGTGGGTTAGCCTTTAGGGGGTACACAAAGCTAGGGTTTCCTACTTGTACTCCAACTTTCATAGTGCAATCACTTCTTCGTAATATGGTTTCACAGCAGGTCCTCCGCTAGGACCGAATCTTAGGGCCCACCACTACTACTGCCTGCTAGCGCCCTCGTGCGCCCTACTGTCGGAGCGCCCTCGAGCGCCTCCCCCCCTAGCGCCCTCGTGCGCCTCGTTTTCACGGCCCCCTAAGGCCCCGCAACCCGCGACCCACCCCCCCCTTTGCGACTCGCGCGCCGCCCCTTATAGGCCCCGTCGACCCCGCGCGCCGCCCCTTAGAGGCCCCGCTGGCCCCGCTTAGAGGCCTCGTCGGCCCCCTATACCCCGCGCGCGCCCACCTCTTAGCGGCCCCGTCGGCCCCGTCGACCCCACACGCCGCCCCTTAGCGGCCCCGCTGGCCCCGTCGACCCCGCGCGCGACCTTCTTAGAGGCCCCATCGGCCCCGTTTGCCCCGCGCGCGCCCACTTCTTAGCGGCCCCGTCGCCCCCCCCCCCCTCGACCCACGCGCCGCCCCTTAGCACCCCCCCGTGACACCCACGGCCCCGCCAGAACGAGCCGCCCGAACCGAGCAGCCCGAACCGAGCCCCCCAGCCCGAATCCAGCCGCCCGAACCGAGCCGCCTAGCCCGAACCGAGCCGCGCCGCCCGAACCGAGCCGCGCCGCCCGTACTGGACCGAGCCGCCCTACCTGAGTCGCACTGCCTACTGTCTTGAGGGTGCACCTACTACTGCTACAGCTACTCTACTGCTACTCCTACTACTGCTATGGCTAGCCCTCCTGTGCTAGCTTTCGATGCTGAGGGCCGCTCAGTGAAGCTCGAAACCTGGCTAGATGACCTACACCTCTTCCTACAGCTCACTGCCAAGGAGGACATCTCACTGTACGATCACGCCCTAGGCCATGCTACTGCTCCTGCTGCTACTGCTGACAGCACTGCCCGCTCACAGTGGCAGACTTGTGACGCCCACGCTCGCTTCGCTATTCGCAACTCTTTGCCGATAGACGAGCGCGAGCACTTTGGCCAGCACAAGACTGCACAGGCACTGTACACCGCTGTCGTTGCCCGCTACTCCTCACCGACCTCTGCCGTGCTAGGCCGTCTCTCACTCCCCTACCTGTTTTCCGACCTGGCCTCGTTCCACACAGTCGCTGACCTCATCATGCACCTCCGTACTAGTGAGGCACGCTTTCGTGCCGCCATGCCTGATGAGTTTCTTGCCAAGAACCCTCCCCCGCTCTGGCTCACTCTCTACCACCTAGTCACCCGCCTCCGTGACACTCTGCGTGCTGTCAGGGATCACTTCCTAGCTCGCTGCCCCACTGAGCTCACCATTGCCCTCCTCGAGAAGGAACTGCTTGGAGCTGAGGCTAGCATAGTCGCTGTAGGTGCCTCTCGTGGCGACCCCCGCACCCCTTTCTTTGAGGGGTGTTCCCCTTCCCCCCTTCTTCCCTCTGTAGCCTCTGCTTCTGCTGTCGACCTCTTTGGCTCTGAGAAGGTTGGGGCTGCGTCTGCTTCGAGCGGGCGCCGCAGCGGCAAGGGCAAAGGGGGCAAGGGAGGCGGAGGTGACGGCGGGGGAGGGGGTGGTGGTGGGACTGGTGGGGCTAGTGGCAGCGGTGGGGGTGGTGGCGGCAGCGGCGGAGGAGGTGGCAGGGGCGGGGGCGGTGGTGGGAGCGGCGGTGGACGCGGCGGCGGCAGGGGAGGAGGTGGTTGAGGAGGTGGCGGCGGCGGTGGTGGACGTGGAGGCACTGGCGGTGGCCAAAGCCTGCAGCACTCTCCGTCGCCCCAGGAGCTC